CATCCGCCGCTTGATACGTGCCAGCGCCTTGAATGACGAGGAACGGCGCGCAAACCCAGGTCGCCCTTCTACGTCCCCAGCATGGCCTACATGGCCTACATTGCCAGCATCAGCATCAGCATCAACTTCCCCTTCTACCGCACGATCCACATCGACTTCCTGTCCTTGCCCGAGTCCCAGGCCCAGCCCCGGCAAACCCTGCTGCCCCTCCCACCTCTCCTTCTCCAAGATCGCCTCATGCGCCCTCTGCAAAGTCTTGATCGCCTCCGCAATCTCCCCTGCATCCAACCCGCCTTCCAATATCCCCGCACCTTCTTCCCCGTCCCCAGACCGACTCTGCCTCCCCGGCCTCCCCTGCCGGCTCTGTCTCCTCAACCCCACTCCCAGCACCCTCATCATTTCCACATCGCTCCCTTTGCTCAGCGCAGCCCGCATCACACCCCGCAGATCCGCATAATCGGACTCCGCGTCGAGGAGGTTCTGATGGCGCGTGAGCGACAGCAGCGTGGGGAGCACAAGCGAGGGCGAGGGGAGGAGCGCAGGTGGGATGGGGGGATGTGAATGTGCGTGGGAGATGTGTGGGAATGTGTAGGCAGACGCGAATGCGCAGCTTTGGGAGTGACTTGTGCTGATGAAGAGCCGGGTACAACACCGCCGTCCACATCGTCGGGCTCTGTGGCTGGGGCACTCGGTACGACGGTTGATGTAGATGCCGAAAGAGAAACGGAGGCCTTACGAGCAACTGCGGTTGTGGTTGACTGTGTACTCGGAGGGATCGCAGTCGCAGTAGATGTAGTAGATGTCGGGGACCGAGCACCGCTGGACGTCGATGGGCCAGATGCAGTAGAAGGCTGCGACGAAGGCGTAACTGACAGCGAAGGAACTATAGCGAGAGCCGCCGAGGAATCCACAGTAGGGAGTACATGTACACCCCCGCCATTCGTCCCGTCATTCCACTGCAACTGCAACTGGGACAACCCTTGCGACAGCGACGAATGTGAGCTGCTGTCTGGGAGGCCCTGAAGACCAGGTATGAGACTCTGCGCGGAAGCTGCTGCCGATCCTTTCGGAATAGGCGTTCCTAGCTGAGTGAACAACAACGATCCCGATCGGATATTGGATGCGTTATTGGATGTATCTGGTCCATAAGTTCCATGAGTTCCATGATGCAACGCCCCAGCAGAAATGTACGAAATAGAAGGGATGGCATATGGAAAAGACTGTTTCGCAGGCGGCGTAGACGTGATGGAACTCGTACTCCCTGATGGTACAATAGTTGTCTCCGCGGTGATCTGGCCCTGTAACACGGGCGTCTCGGATCCGCCAAAGTGACCCATATGACTGAGATGAACGACATTCTTCAGAATCTCCTCGGTATCATGCTGCCTGCGCGCTTCGGCAAGTTGGACTTGTTTAAGGATACGAATTTGGATCGAGAGCTACATAGAAAAAGAAACCATCGTTAGCCTAAACGCAAAAAAAATCATAGGTGTAAGGAATAACTTGCACTAAACATCCCCAACGCCTCTTGCAGCCCAATATCACAGAGCGAAATCTGCTTTGAAATCTCGTCCCGCTTGAGGTATCGCTTGAGAAAAGGACGACCGGCTTGTTTGATGAGGAGAGTGTGAACGTCGGTAAATGACCTGTTGGGTATGAGCTCTTAAGTCTGAATAGCAAACGAAAGGAAAGCACCTACTCGGTCAACTTATCCACAGGCAACTTTAGCTCTTCTGCGACCTGGTCTCCCGCTTCCCATACTTCCTGGCGAACAGAAAGAAGAATATCGGCGCAACGTTCAGTCAGGCGGAGGCATTGAAGACGGTTGGACTGCGGTTCATGTTAATAATATACTTACGTACAGAAAAGGAAACTGTACTCACATCAACTTGTTGTAGACTTTCCCAAATCTCCAGCAATGTCCTTGCTGCAGCCGAGAGTCCAGGTACTGGGGCGAGTTCCACCAGGTCGACGGACCGAAGCAGGACTTCGTGTGCGATTAGGGCAGAGGTTCCGAGGATCGATGAAGCAGCTTGGGCTACACGCTATATAGAAACACAATAAGAGACGTCAAAGGAAATGACAAGAGACGAACCTTCCTAGTCGTATCCCAATTCTGCATTTGTTCATGCGAAACGGGCTCGACGTTTTTACCTTCTTTTCCAGTAGGTGTAGTGGTAGCGACACTGTGTCGCCTTGGTTTCATATAATCAGAGTCGAACCAAGGTCGCGTATGGCCCGAGAGTCTGTCTTCTTCGCGGCGCCACCAGGAGGATCGAGAGGGGGTACCTGTAGAATGCTAAGTTGAGTCCTACATTCATCCAATAAGGACTCACTGATCATCGCAGGGGGAGTAATACCAACCATCGAGATAGGCGACCTACTAGAGCTTCGACTTCGCTCACGAAAAGAACTAGCACCATCGCCAATGTCACCAAGAGTACCATGGCTGGCGCTAGCAGGACTGAGCATCATAGAGGTCTGTGTGGGAGCGGATGACACGCTATGGCCTCTATCCCTACCTTTGTGACCTTTCGGAGGGGTAGGCTGGAACGGCGGGCCAAGGATTGGGGGCGAGGAAGGAGGGGAAGACACGAGAGCGTCGCGATAGCTAGCTGAAGGACCCGAGTACGACGCGCTGTGGCCGTGGCTTGGTGCTTGCTGAGGATGCGGATTCAACGGCGAAGAAGTCCTCGGCGAGTTGGGCGAGTTGGCTAGATGTAAAGAGTCCATATTCGTACTCGATTGCTCCATCGACGATTGTGAGAATCCACGAGGCAAAAAGTCAACGGCGAGGCTGATTTAATGAATGGCGAGAACGTTAAATGTTGGTCGCGATGGTGAGAATCCCAAATCAGGCAACGTCGGGCAGCGGGCAACCGAGTACAAAGTATTTCGTATTTGGGGTTTGTTTTCGTGGAATGTCGTGAAGTATGAGTCGTAAACAAAAAAGAGCGACGTCGAGGGATTCGCTGAGGAAAAAGAAAGTCACAGTGATGGTTGAAGAAGTACCGTCCAATATCACACTTGGAGAGTCTAAGCGCCCAACACGATCGACGTCACTCACGTGATAGTTTTGCCTCCGGTCCGGTAGATTTCCGGTTTTGAACGATTCCCGAGCTCGATGTTACCTGTACGCTGCACAACGACCGCTGCCAATGTCGATGAAGACTCCCAAGACTGAATTACTAGTGTATGAAAAGTTCTAGTTGAGACCCAACTCTGTCTACTTATATACGGCCCACTGCTTTCAGAGCAAGCTATGCTTATTGGAGGCTGCTCTCGCTCACTCTTATATCTCATTCAGGCGTCCGAGCCTCAGCTAAAAGATGATCCGGATCTTCATCGACGTCGTTCAGAACGTTCAACTACAACCAGTCTCTGCTTCCCCTTCACATTTGGCTTGTTTTGCTTTGCGTGGTCTTCATTTTCGGCTCCGAGAGTCCGAGTTGATCACTGTCTGCGCGCGCTGCAGGTCAACTCCAACAGACTCCAACGTCTCCAACGCACTCGGGCGGAACCTGTAAATCATGAAAGTACTGTTCGTTACCATCCTTCCATATCAGGCAGCATGTGAAGCAGAGCTTCGAGGTACAAGTATTCCAACCACCAAGTTTTCCCCCTCCTCCTCCCTCCTTCCCACATCTCCTTCCCATATCTCCACTATCCAATCATAACTCTCAGGCTTCATGCTTTCAAAATTTCAAGCTTCAAGTTCACGCGTGTATGTAACCCAACTTTATCTGATATTGATTCAACTCTCTCATGTTATGCATATTAGGGGTGTCCCAAACTCGAATAATTATTCCCAGAATTCCTCAGTCTCCTCCCGACAAAACAAATGAGAATTTTCCGCCGACTGACCCGGGTTCAGAAATCGTATAGCAAGTATGTACCTCCATCTCTCCTGTATGTTCGGCTAGCCCCCCTATATCGATATCTTTGGCAGGCATATGTTCAAAATTAGGCAGTGTTACTGTACATACCAGATAACTGAATATATTCAAGTTATTCGCATTCTTTTTTACCTTCGATTCGATCGGCTTGTCCAAGCCCAAGCTTGGTCAGGAAGTCTTTGGTATGAGATGGAGGCGGAATTAAGTCGGAAGTTATAGGTATGTAGAACAATAATTTACAGTACGGCAACATATACTATATGTACTGGCCTGCTATTCAACTCTGCGTCTGATTTTCTCGAAGCTGAAAGCGAGAATGGATGTTATGTTAACGTTTATTTTCCTTCGAGAATTCACCAATCATGATTCTGAATCGGATGCGAGAAGCTTGACATTCGTGGTACCGTAACCTAAGCTGCCACAGTCACCGTCAACGCGTGAACGCGCTCACTATTCTGTTCCTTCAATTCTCTTTTCACTATACAGTTTTTCCACGTCCACGTTCAGTTTCCCTTCAGCCATCTTCCAGCGTTGCCCCGCGTCGTGTTCCACCTCTCAAGCGCCCCCAATCTCCAGCAGATGCATCGATGATCCGTCCCACCCAACGCGTCCGCGTCAGACTGAACCTGTCTAACAGCAACGAAGAACGCGTAGCATATAGCAACGACGAACCGAAGGCGAAGACGCAACCCATAAAAGACTCATGTTTTCGAAAACTGTCCAAATCCTACCATAGTAACCATACCAAGTTCTCTGGCAGTTTACCTTTACAACAACACCGTGACACTCCTCTCTACCCTACGTGGACTCACTTATTCCTAGGGGAGGCAACAAGAAATTGACTACATGCTATGTACATCAATGAATGCCCGACCAAGAAATCATTTTTCTAAAGTGCTTTAAACGTACATTTTGCGTACATTTGACGCGTTCTGTGCTCACCATCCCTCGTAATCGGTGTATCGAAAGCATTCCTGCGTCACTGTAACAGTGCCCTCAGTGAATATGTAGTATCTAGTATCTAGTATCTTACCAATCAAGCATGGTTTTATCTTGGCTGACGGCGCAGGCAAACTTTAGATATCATATGATCGAAACGATCAATGCCCCATGGCTGAGTTGGTTACAGCGTCCGACTGTTATCCGTTGAGCATAAATACATAACATCGGAAGGTCGAGAGTTCGAGCCTCTCTGGGGCAGATAGCAGATGTAATCCCAAGTTGACTTTTTATACCGCATACCCTCCTGGGCCCAAGATTTTTGATAATTCCAATCCCACCCAACCTTCAGGCAGTATATATATATTACCCGCTCTCTTGCATCAGCCCCCATATATCGTTGATTCATTATCAGTGAACATAGTTAAATAACATTTGACTGAAATTGGTCTACTCAGTGTACATGAAAGCGCTCTAAACACAAATTTTGCACATTACATGTGATTCTGCCATCTGTGCTCGCCATCCTTGCCATCACCGGTGTAAAGAAAATATTTTTTATATATCTCAAATATTATATATTATGGCTGAGCGCGGTGAGACGTGGGTGGACTGGAACGTACAGCGCTGGAAGAGGCTGGGAGTCGCTGGAAACGGCTCTGATAACGTCTCCAGCTCACCCACGTTTTGCTCACGATTTTTTCAGTGGCAAACTTCAAGTAAGGGCCAAGGCTGTGTCAGGTCTAGCGCACGAAACGAGACGAAACGAGCCTTGATCCACAGCCAAACCTAAAATAAACTATAAAAAGCAACATGTGGATGAAAACATTTCAGCAGTTCTGCCGGTTCAGTCCTCCTCACCAGTCACTTGAATACAAATTGCTGGTCAATCTGTGTTCATCGCAATATTTCTTTACACAATCTTTAACATGCGTTCCGTTCTTCTCTTTATTGTCATAGCGAGCTCATTGCTTAAGGAGATTGTTTTTGTAACCATAGATTCCGCATACACTTCAACTAAACACTGTACGCTCGTCTTCTACAACGTTCATTTGCTGTTCCTGACAGTCCAATCGCACTTTCCTCATCTTCTTCACTCTCAACAACGCTAGCAACTTCCTCCCGCCGCTTTTTTATAACCCTTCTCCAATTCCCTACAACCTCCGCGCCATACATCAACACACCAATAACTGCCGTGAATGAGGCGAGAGTCTGTCCATACGTCCACGAAGAACCATTGCTAACAACGGTACCAGCCTGAGAATTCATAGATATCGTCTTTTCCGTGGATATAACAAGAAAAAAAATCGGAGTTGAATTCGCCACGACGAAAACAAGCATGATCAGTCTGTAGGATGTCGTTGAGGGTTCAAGTGTTGGAAAAAAGGCCAAGATAGCATCGTGTTCACCAGCGCTGGTCGTAGTAAATCTGTGGGTACGACGATGATACATATGCATTGCTATGCGCGGGAAAGCAACACCGAAGAGATAAATCGTTGTTGAGACAAGCGTTCCAGCCGCAAGTGGAATCATTCGGATGATTATTAGAGAGGGCACGATAAGATTGGCCGGACCAAGGAGGGGCACCAAGGGAGTACCGAGGTAAAATATCAAAGAGATGATTTTGATAGACAGAGACGCCTCAACGCGTATCTGGTGGAATACCCAATAGAGTGTCTTAGTCACACATTCCGATTCTTGATTCGAGCCTCCATCAGTCATCATATACCCGCTAAATGTATGAAGAAACGTCGCCGAAATCCAAAACCAAAGTCCAAACCCAAGGATCATCACCATCTGTATGAAACCCAGCCCAAATACATCGAAAAACTGGATCGTCCACGAGACTAATTTCGATTGTTCTTGTTTTCGGTCTCTCGTCTCCATCTTTGCGACTACCGCTCCCATACGAAACAGGGCGAACCCCGCTCCAGCCATGTTATTGAGTAGTGTCAAGTTGAGAACAATGAGTGCATGGTAGGGCGAGAGACCTGTATCAGAGGTGATGAACGCTCCATCTAGGATCGCGCTCGCGACGATTGCTGAGCCTACGAGGAATAAGGATCGTTCGAGTGCCTTCGCCGATTCAAAATAGTGGGGGTTATCTTCTAGGTATTCAAGATATTTAAGATATTTCTCAAGTTGCTCTTCGTCTTCCTCGGTCTGTGCGTTTTTCCCAGAATTAGAGCGAGAACCAGCGCTATCCCCACTTATAATTGAAGCAGAACTAGAACGAGCACTGCGTCGAGAAGAATGCGCCTCCGAGGCAATGGATTTAGATTCTAGCTGGTCTTCGCCGAAAACGTCCGTAACCATCTCAGGAAGAACGGCATTGAACATCTTGACGAAGATTTTCGCTGTGATATATCCCGAGTTCAATGAGGCCAATAGAGCAGGCAGATACATGGAGAAGCGGACTCCGACACCTGGAAGCGTGTTCAATGGAGATTATAGAGATATCAACAAACATGGCTCATACGAAACGTACCAGCTATATCAGGGTTTTCAATGATAGTGCACGTGGAATTCGACGAGGACATGGGCCCAACCTTCCGAGCCTGCCTCGTCGTCGCAGTCTGAGTGACTGATTGAGCTAGGCGCTCGTCACATCAATTTTTTGGCAGGTCCTGTTCAGTGGTCGCCTGTTAGGATGTTAACTGTATAACTTAAATATAGTATACTATGGGTGGCAGGGAAGTGCAATTTTTTGATAAATTGTCAATAAGTTTACGCCAGCCAGAAATTTCGCATATCTGAGGATATAGATCGATTTACAGTAGATAAAAACCCTTATCCTGAATTTCCTGTATTTTTAAAGGTTTAATTGCATGCGTCGGGCAATGTCCGAGCAAAATTGGGAAGTGCAACTGGGCGCTTAGCGGCCAAAACTTTTGCCGGTTTTTGCAGTCTTTTGCTCGCTATTTTGCTTCTTGTTTCATGAATACTATACGGATACTTATAGGAATTTGAATTTAAGCTGCTATTAGCATTGTGAAAAACCTTTTGAGCTCATCTCAACGGTCTCAATAGACATTCTACATGTTCCTGGCAATTGACATGATGCAGAAGTCACACTCGATGTTCTGAACGTTCTGCTTGCGATTCAAGTGTTTTTCATAAAATGGCCCATCTGAGTAGACAGAATCATTGTAGAGTACCTAAATAATGTTACAAAAAATCATAGAATCTCTAGGTTAGCAAGAACCCATATTTTCTAGTGTTTTAAAAAAAGTTGCACTTCCTAGCCGTGAGCACTTCCCTGCCACCCATAGTGGGCCATTGGATTAAGTGTCCCTGTGAAGACCATGGTAGACTGGTGCACTGTATCTTGACGATTAATGATGCAAACAGCCGAATGTCGTTAGCCCCCACGGCCCTTATATTAGTAGAGCGCCTCAGTTCACTTCTATAGTGACATCTCTTTATCGTGTCTAACATCAGCGTTGTGCGTCCGGAGGAACCAGCCTCTCAACACAGCAGCGTTGAGGTTAGATGCCCGCGGCACATATCCCAGGCGCAATATGTGTAGCGTGGAACCCGGCTGTTTCTAAATGGGACCGTGCCGGTTAAACCTACCTACCTACCTACCTACCATAGTAAGGCAGTGTTTCTCTTCCACGAATCGATGATCTATTGATGTCACGTGTGAGCGAAACAGAGACTATCCGCAGAGCTGTAGTAACTCTAAGAGAGCACTTTGACCAACACGTCCCTGCGACCAGAGTTTAGAGGTTTGTATTTGAGATGGGCATCGATGGGTGATGTCAAGGTGATGTAAGCAGCGCTTTTCTCATGTTATAGACAGCATATAGTAGAGCTTGATAGAAGGAACTTCATATTCGCGACGTCGACGCGCGTTGGGGTTTCAAACAAGGCGTAGGTCCTAGGCTAGGATATACACTAGCCTCTAGTAGTAGGAGCGCTGGTGCCGTGACTTGAGAGGAGAGCAACCACGTGGTGTGCTGGCGCTTATAAATGCTTGCCACAACCATGGCCACTGACGCCACTGACAACATCGACCACTCTCTTCAACACGATAAAGACTCAGGGGTAGCGACAAAGTAGCGACAAAGGCTCTTTCGGAATATATTTGTAAGTAATTAAACCCATCTCAAATTCTTGAGGCTTGAGTACATCGGCTTTGTCGTTTCAACGCGTCGATTCAAATCACAAACTCTAATTCTAACTCCTATCTCGCTCAGGTATTATGCAATCTAGTGCGAGGGCAGAAGAAAGGGCTGGATCCGCTGGTAATAAATTATCTGAACCAAAAGAAAGAAGGTGGGTTAGTAGGAGTAGAAGTCGAAGTCCTGGTAACAACCGTGAAAGAGGGTAAGTTGACGCGTTTTTCAAGCTTATCTCTCACCCAACTGGCTTTTAAAAATGCAAATATTTACAGAACACCAGTCGCAGTGAAACCTGAGAACCCTGGAAATAACCTGCATATATCGGGTCTAAGCCTTTACGTCAAGTCGCGAAAACTAGGCGAGGTGTTTGCTAAAGTCGGTAGGGTACGAGTGTCTAGTTTTTCTTACCCGTATTTCTTGACGTGTTTACCTTTTTTTTTTTTTTGAATCTTCCTTTCCCATACGCTTCTGGCGCAACAGGTCCAAGAAGCAACCGTTATATATGAGCCTCACACGCACATATCGCGAGGATTTGGGTTTGTCTTGATGAAGACTCGGCAAGAAGCCAATGCGGCCATCGATGCGCTCAACAGGACTGAATTTATGGGGTCGATTATCACTGTGACTAGGGTGCGCCACTCGTTTCCTCCGTCTTTGATCTAAGCTATATGCTTATTCTAGGCTCATCATGGAAGCTCAAGAACCGTCCACAGTCCTCAGCAGCCCTTGCGAGGTATGTGTTGAGAATCCACATTTTGAATGAGTAATACCGACAAGTTATCCTAACATTAGATTCCTACGTCCCTCACACTCCCATCGACAGCTACGAAACTGAGACTTATGAACGTCGACAACACTCGAAAAAGTACCTGTTAACCTATGGAGATAGCTTTGATCGTTATAAATTCTACGACTCTGAATCCTTGGACGGATATTCCCGTCACAGGCAATACCAGGAGTATCACTCTACTACGCACAGTGATGGCTATAGAGAATATGGTGGGCATAGGTACCAGGATGATTATCAATATTGGGACCAGGAACGTCAGCGCGGGGCAACAAGGTATCACGAACAACACTTTGACGATAATGAATATGACCTTCGCTACCGTGGGATTGGTCAAGATGATCACGA